ATAGTGTGTATGTTCCCTGTGTGGGAGAGTTCAGTTTTATTCAATACACGAAGCTAGTTAACAAAAGAATAACCATGTCATTCTACTTCTCTAAGTACAGACTTATAGTCTATCCTCTCTTTTGAATTTAAAAACTTTTTTTGTTTGTTTTTTCACTCTGCCCAATCTTTTTTCTTTTAATTATACTTTAAGTTTTGGGATACATGTGCAGAATGTACAGGTTTGTTACATAGGATACATGTACCATAGTGGTTTGCTGCACCCATCAACCCGTCATCTACATTAGGTATTTCTCCTAATGCTATCCCTCCCCTAGACCTCACCCACCAACAGGCCCTGGTGTGTGATGGTCCCCTCCTTGTGTTCATGTGTTCCCAACGTTCAACTGTAACTTATGAGTGGGAACATGCAGTGTTTGGTTTTCTGTTCTTGTGTAAGTTTATTGAGAATGATGGTTTCCAGCTTCAACCATGTCCCTGTAAAAGACATGAAGTCATCCTTTTTTATGGCTGCATAGTATTCCATGGTGTATATGTGCCGCATTTTCTTTATGCAGTCTATCATTGATGGGCATTTGGATTGGTTCCAAGTCTTTGCTATTGTGAATAGTGTCACAATAAACACATGTGTGCATATGTCTTTATAGTAGAATGATGTACAATCCTTTGGGTATATACCTAGTAATACGATTGCTGGGTCAAATGTTATTTCTATTTCTAGATCATTGAGGAATTGCCACACTGTCTTCCACAATGGTTGAACTAATTTACACTCCCACCAACAGTGTAAAAGAATTCCTATCTCTCCACATCCTCTCCAGCATCTGCTGTTTCCTGACTTTTTAATAATCACCATTCTAACTGGTGTGAGATGTTATTTCATTGTGGTTTTGACTTGCATTTCTCTAATGACCAGTGATGATGAGCTTTTCTTCATATGTTAGTTGGCTGCATAAATGTCTTCTTTTGAGAAGCGTCTGTTCATATCCTTTGCCCACTTTTTGATGGGGTGGTTTTTTTTTTCTTGTAAATTTGTTTAAGGTCTTTGTAGGTTCTGGATATTAGACCTTTGTCACATGGACAGATTGCAAAAATTTCTTCCATTCTATAGGTTGCCTGTTTGCTCTGATGATAGTTTCTTTTGCTGTGCAGAGCCTTTAGTTTAATTAGATCCCATTTGTCAATTTTGGCTTTTGTTGCTACTGCTTTTAGTATTTTAGTCATGAAGTCTCTGACCATGCCTATGTCCTGAATGGTATTGCCTATGTTTTCTTCTAGGGTTTTTATGGTGTTAGGTCTTATGTTTAAGTCTTTAATCCATCTTGAGTTAATTTTTGTTTAAGGTCTAAGGAAGGGGTCCAGTTTCAGTGTTATTTCTGAGGCCTCTGTTCTGTTCCATCATGAGTGAACTCCATTCACAATTACTACAAATACATTTAAATACCTAGGAATACAACTTACAAGGAACGTGAGGGACCTCTTTAAGGAGAACTACAAACCACTGTTGAAGGAAATAAGAGAGGACACAAACAAATGGAAAAACATTCCATGCTCATGAATAGGAAGAATCAATATCGTAAAAATGGCCATACTGCTCAAAGTAATTTATAGATTCAATGCTATTCACATCAAGCTACCATTGACTTTCTTCACAGAACTAGAAAAAAACTACTTTAAATTTATGTGGAACCAAAAAAGAGTCTGTATAGACAGTGGTGCAAAGACAATGCTAAGCAAAAAGAACAAAGCTGGAGGCATCATGCTATCTGACTTCAAACTATACTACAAGGCTACAGTAATCAAAGCAGCATGATACTGATACCAAAACAGATATATAGACCAATTGAACAGAACAGAGGCCTCAGAAATAACACCACACATCTACAACCATCTGATCTTTGAGAAACCTGACAAAAACAAGCAATGGGGAAAGTAGTCCCTATTTAATAAATGGTGCTGGGAAAACTGGCTAGCCATATGCAGAAAACAGAAACTGGACCCCTTCCTTATACTGTTGGTGGGAGTGTAAATTAGTTCAACAATTGTAGAAGACAGTGTGACAATTCCTCAAGGATCTAAAACTAGAAATACCATTTTACCCAGCAATCCCATTACTGGGTATATACCCAAAGTGTTATAAATCATTCTACTATAAAGACACATGTACATATATGTTTATTGCAACACTGTTCACAATAGCTGCAATAGTTCCAAAGTCTTGGAACCAACCCGACTGCCCATCAGTGATAGACTGGATAAAGAAAATGTGGCCGATAGATTCTATGGAATACTATGCAGCCATAAAAAAGGATGGGTTCATGCCCTTTGCAGGAACATGGATGAAGCTGGAAACCATCATCCTCAGCAAACTAACACTGGAACAGAAAACCAAATACCACATGTTCTCCCTCATAAGTGGGATTTGAACAATGAGAACACATGACCACGTGGAGGTGAACATCACAGACTTGGGCTTGTTGGGTGGCTAGGGGAAAGGGGAGGGAGGGCATTAGGACAAGTACCTAATGCATGCAGAGCTGAAAACCTAGATGATGGGTTGATAAGTACAGCAAACCATGGCACATATATACCTGTGTAACAAACCTGCATGTTCTGCACATGTATCCCAGAAGTTAAAGTAAAATTTAAAAGAAAAAAAAGAAAAGATAGGTCCAAAAAGAGTACAAAACATCCAGAACAGTCCAGAAAGACAGCTGATGACCTTTTTCTCTAAAATATCTTAATATCACAGTACCAAATAGCCTAAGTATGTCAAGGCAAGCATATAACTACTACTACAACAATAAAGGATTAGGTAAAAAACAACAAACAAGAAAACTGATGGAACAATAAGAATTTGTGATCTGAACCACAAATGAAAACATAGAATACAATTAACTCTTGTATTGTAGTTAAGATTCCACCAGTGGTAAGGGATTACACCTCAGCTCAAAGTAATAGTCACAAGAAACTCTCAGGGCTATTTCAATCTGAAAGCTGCCATAATTTCTGCAGAGATAGCACATGCTGTCATCTGCCTAGAAACTAAATGGATCCTGCTACCATGGCTGAAGATTGCACATCCCTAATTTAAGTCTCCTCTTGGCTGAAGCAGCTCTGGGCTGTGATTTGACCAGGAGACTAGAACAGCATCACGGAATGGAAGGAATGCAGAGCACACCCAGGGGACCCTATCTCATTTCTTCAATTATGATGCACACAGCCTTGAGCTACTGCTAAATAATAGATTTAAAAACTATTGAAATCCCTTCCCCACTTCTCTACTCCTGAAGCAATAGGAAACTATGGCTCACTGAAACGATGGAGTCAGAATCCAGGTTTCCCCAAAATATCATAATATTAAACCACACATCCACTAAATAAGAGTCAAAATTGTCTTGAAACCTCTTCCCCCTTCTTAAAAAAACTGTTGAGGCTACATATCTAAAAGCCATCATAGATACTTAGGCCTCCTAATTAAATGTATAAATGCATGGCGTCTTGAGAGAAAAAAACACCACTTGCTCAGTTATAGAGCCAGCATATATGCACACATACATACACATGCCAATTATTTGATCATTTGCTAAATGTGCAAGCTGTTCCTCTGTCTAGTTATACGCTAGCATATCTGTCTCTAAAGGAAAAAAAAAAAATCAAAGCCACTGGCTGCCAATTTCCCAAGAGGTGAGGAGAAAGCAAAGCAACTGAGAATGAAAAGACTGCTATGGCTTTGACAAGATGAGCAAATAGCTTCTAACAGCCCACAAACTTCACACACACACACACACACACACACACACACACACACACACAAACACGGTATCTGCTTGAAGATAAAGCTCTAAAAGCCCAACTAAATCTCTATCTGATGGTAAAAGTGAGCCTAGATATTTGGTAGAAAAAGGAGAGAGTACTAACAAAAAAAAAAAATGGAAAGGAAAACATTTTATGAGTTACATAAAAACAAGACCATTTACATATTGTTTAAGTTATCATGAACCAATCAAGCACAAGACGAACCAAATCTGGCACAATTCCAAATAAGACTGCCATCCCCAAGCAGTGTTTCTAGAATTTTTAGTACAAATTACCTAAAATAATATTTAGTTCACAAAAGATAGTCAGGAGATAGAAAGCCTCAATTCCCACATAATAATGAAAGTGATAAAGACTACAAAACGGGTACAGAGAAAAGGGTGTAAAGGATAATGCCATAGTAGATGCTTTTCTTTGGGGATGACATTATCTCAGTGACTACAAATTGCCGACTTACATTACACTACCGGGTGGAGGGATGATACAGGCAGGCCTGAGTGGAGTGCTAACAGTACAGTTCCATGGCCTTCCTTGGCCTAATGAAGAGAAGACAGAGATGAAACTGGACAAGGGGCTTCCACCTCATTCTTGTGTCTGGGTGCATTCAGCCTCAGAAGTGGTATAATCAGACAGCTTTCACCACTATCATCCATGAACCCAAGGACCACCGACACAGAGGAGAGAATAGGGTGTTCCCTGCACTCTTAGGCAAATGAAATTTCATATATTTGCCAGTTGCCAAAACACCTAAGACTAAAAGTACAGCCAGGAGCAGTGGCTCACACTTGTAATCTCAGCTCTTTGGGAGGCCAAAGTGGGAAGATCACTTGAAGCCAGGAGTTCAAGACCAGCCTTGGCAATAAAACAAGACTGTCTCTACAAAAAAATTTAAGCTGGCACACATCTGTAGTCCCAGCTACTCAGTAGACTGAGATGGGAGGATCACGTGAGCCCAGGAGCTCAAGGCTGCAGTGAGCAAGGATCGCACCATTGTATTCCAGCCTGGGCAACAAACTGAGACCCTGTCTCTTAAAAAACAAACAAAAAAAGAGTATAATGTATAATATTACAAATTTCCTTTGTGTAAAATAACCCTAGTTTCCCACAAATCTCAGCTCCACTGGTCTGTTTTTGAACTAAGTAAACCAGTTCAGACAACCAAGAGTCTCTTTACTGACTCACCTTGGAGAGGGACATGCGAAGGACACATGGACAAATGTTTCCTTTCATCCTTCCTCTGAGTTTCAATCTAAGGTAAGGCAAGTAGAAAAGGTGAGGCAAATAGAAAAAATATTTTTTGTTAGTACTCACTACACTTAAAAAAAATTTAAAACCAAGCTTAGTTCATGGACACAGAGGAAATTCATGAAAGGAATGGAACCAGACATCACATTAGCTCCCCACAAAGGTACCAAAGCTGTGTGAGAGGATGTTTCCCTAACTTCCTTGCTTTCTGTGACTCTAGCCAAGGTTTAGAAGGATGAGAATCACATTACTATTATGAACACAATCCAGGAGGTTCCAATGTCTTTTTGACATCCATGCCAGGATGAGCATCTAGGCAAATCAGAGAAAGTCAGACAGCATTACATTCACACTCACTGGCTAGGTGACCGTCAGCACACTCCTTACCTCTCTCATATCCCCATCTAGATCACTGAAGTGTTAACTCTTACCCTGCATGGGTGCCATGAGGATAAGGTAATAAGTAGTGTCAGGGCTGTGCCTGGTACANTTATGAACACAATCCAGGAGGTTCCAATGTCTTATTGACATCCATGCCAGGAAGAGCATCTAAACACACTTTAGGATATGGCAAATCAGAGAAAGTCAGACAGCTCTACATTCACACTCACTAGGTGACCGTCAGCACACTCCTTACCTCTCTTGTACCCTCATCTAGATCACTGAAGTGTTAACTCTTACCCTGCATGGGTGCCATGAGGATAAGGTAATAAGTAGTGTCAGGGCTGTGCCTGGTACACAGCAAGCATTCAGAAAAACTATTTGTAGAATGAATATGGAATTGAATTAATCAAATGCTTGTTACTTGGTAGAAGCTCAGTAAATAGTGGTTTTTTTTCTTGAGCAGGGGAATTGGGAGAAAGTGGGTAAATATGTTTGTGAGAAACCATCATCTCATATTGTAAGCCTACTGGGTTATTAATGGGTCAACCAGCAATTCTCACTGGTGTAGATAAGGGGTTAAAAATGGTCTGTGAGGTGAAGAGTGATGAAGGACTCGAGAAGAGGGCTGTGCTTTTTATTTCATGTGCTACCAGGTCTGTGTTTTCCTTCTCAGTGCCAAATGAAGACTGGCTCATCGCCTGCCACACCACATCTTACTACGACAGCCACCTATGTTAGTCATACTATCCTTAAAATTTACAAGTTTTAAATGGGGGAGTGTATACAAACACTCCTAAACTTAATAAGTAGACTCACTAGAGTCAAGTAACTTTACTGCTGGAAAAAAATTCACACACACTGAGAGGTAACTGCAGACTTTAGAGAGGACTGAAATGAACCATGGCCAGAAGTGAGTTCACTTACATTTTTAAAAGCTGATTTATTTATTTTCAGGTCTTCAAATCTTGTATGTACTTAGCAACTAATCCACACAAGCTCTTTGATACTGAAAAGGAACAAATACAAAAACAACAAGTTAAAAGTGATTTCAAATTATAGCACACCAGAAAAAATAAAAGTGGCAAATGGCTAATTATTATGTAAACAAAGAACATCAAACTAGATAACATGAGTGTAATTAAAAACAACAAAACTTATGTTAAGGACTTCCTTCCATCCATCCTTTCTTACCTATCCTCCTTCTTCCTTCTTCCCCATCCAGCACTCCACCCTTCTCTCCCTTCCTTCCTCAGTTCTAATTGGACAACCTCAAATACTCCCTGATGACTGATTTTTATGCTGAAACTACCTTCATTAATTTTTATAGCACAAAGTAGTAGTAGCATATGGTAGGTGCTATGAATGTTTGTTGAGTAAACGAATGAACCATGGTTTTGCAATATTTTGTTAAGATAAAAAAATAAGAAATGCCCACAATTTATTATTTTGTTGTCCAACGGTAACAAGTTATAGACAATATTTAGAAACACATACACCATTTCTGACTTGCATTTCTGATTCTCTTATCTCTTTTAAATAACTCATACTTAGGAGAAAATCCCTATTAGTATATGTGGGCACATATATCCTCACCATGATATGGTAATAAAATATATTTTGGTACTAAAATAATATATAAGAACAGTAAAATTCCTTTTGAGATGCTCTCTCTTCATATACCTCAGAACTACCTGCATCCAAAGGAGAAACTAAGGTGTCTCCAAGTTAAATACAAGAGATATTTTTTATATCTCTTGCCCACACATGTTTTACAAATGCATACATAGTCAGGGCCAGTCCTACACAAAATTATGATATATGGATGTGGCTGTTTCTTTCCTTCTATCTGTCCTTTTGAGGATTCAGAAACCCTGTATGACTAATCAAATGATTAATCAAGTAGAGAAGCAAAAGGATCTGCTCCAAGGTTACAACAACTTAGTGAATATCCTTCATGAGGACATTTTTATTTTTAAAAAAGAGCTTCAGAAAAGGCAGGTGCTTAACAGTGAAATAAAATGCATTACTGACTATGGAATTTCAGGAATGAATGGGAGTGTGGATTGTCATCATGGAATCTCTCAACACCCCATCAAATCACATCAGGTAAACATCTGTCCATTCTGCTTTCTCTTACAGCTGGCTTCATATATGGCTCATATACACACACCAATCCCAGCAAACTTTAAATAATTTATTATATATAGGCAAACTGAATTTTAAGACTAGGATGTCCTCTGAAAGTAAACAGTTCTCTTAATGAGCAGTTTTCAAAGTGAGCTCCTAGGAATCCCACCCTATGTTGCTTCTGAGAGCAGAGATAGAAGTGAGTGGACGTTCAGCAGTGGGCAGAGCAATTTCACTTTCATCTGTTTCATACTTAGACCCAAGATTTAGTTGGAGAAGTGGTTCCCTGAGCTGTTTATGAAAGAGCTGAAACAATCAATGTAACCAAGTGATAATTAGATTAAAAGCTAGTGCAGAAAATCCCAGTCAGTCCACAACACAGCTGATTTAACACCAAAATCTAACCACCACCTGTCACAGGGCCTTTATGGTAAAATACAAGTCCCAGCCTGAGTCTCAGAGCAGAGGTCAGCCTGGGTCTGAGCAGACAGGAGCTGGGCATTCTCTTCTTCCCTACTCAGCCCCCTAGTCTCCTTCCTTGGAACATCATGAGCAGAGGAAGGGCACCTACGCTTCCATGAGGATGGAGCCAACAGTAAGAGGACAAGATTAGGGTGTGTGGGGACCTGTGGATATTCACAAGATGGAGAAGTAAGGGTATCCAGCAGAGAACAAGACACGATAGGTTTGTGTAAGTCAGTCACTTCCCAGGCCCTGCCCCAATACCCCCAGCCTCTTTGCTAGGAATTCCATGTGGAAGGTTTACACGCTTCACCTGGGTCAGGGCTCTTGGCTAGGAATGAGAAAAGAGAAAATTAATAGAACAGTTTGAAAAGAAGAAAAAAATCCTATGTTCTATGAAATCTAATTCAAAACAATATATAAAATGAAAAAAAGGGGTAAGATGGGGGTAGTATTATGAGAAAATAAGCATTGCCTGAATGTGCTCCAGAGAAATTCACATTAACTAAGAGGCACTGAGCACATCCAGTCCCTCCCTCAGCATATAAATGTTTTTGTGTATTCAGTCCCGGCTGGGCCAAATAATCAGAGCTCTGATTATTTGGCCCAGCCGGGACTGAATACACAAAAACATTTATAAACATGAACCATTATATTTTTTGAGTTTTCATCATAGGCCTTAAGTAAAAGTAGCTGTACATGATGGTCCACTAGGAACAAACAAAAAGCTACTGTTGGAGTACAGCCTTGGCAGGCTGGAGTGGGAGAATCACTTGAGCCTAAAGTTTGAGTCCAGCCAAGGCAACATAGCAAGACTACATTTCTAAAAAGAAGAAAGGAAGGAAGAAAGGACAGAAGGAAGGATGAAAGGAAAGAAGGAAGGAAGGAAAGAAGGAAGAAATGGAGGGAGGAAAGGAGGGAGGGAGGGAGGAAAAAGAAGAAGAAGGAGCAGGAGGAAGAAAGAAGAAGAAATAAGAAGAAGAGCAAGAAGAAGAACAAGAAGGAGAAGAAGAACAAGAGAAGAGAAGGAAAGACAAGAAAGAAAGAAAGAAAGAAAGAAAAGAAAGAAAGAAAGAAAGGAAGTAAGTAAGTAAGTAAGTTAGGAGAAAGAGGAGAAGGAAAAAGGAGGAAGAAGAAAAAGAAGGAAGATAAGAAGGAGAAGGAGGAGATGGAGAAGAAGAAAGGAGGAAGAAGAAAGAGGATAAAAAGAAAGAATGAAGAAGAAGGAGGAGAAAGAGAAGAAAGAAGAAAATAGGGGAAGTCATTTTGATTTGGTGTCACTTTGGAATGATGTTGAACTTTAGGTGGCCAAGTGATTTGTCTGCTTCAGTGTGATGTTCTAAGCTGCTTACTCAACAGGATCAGATGAATGTTTTTGTAGATTACTCTTGTAGGGTGTGGCCAGGTGGAAGTCCTCTCTGGTATGATATGCTTATTGTCCTGGCAGAGAAGGGTTTTGGTTGTGTGGTACAGGAAGGACTATGTAGGGATAGAGAAAATAGATCCAGAAGAAAGATGTGTCTGGATTCCATAGAAACCGTCAGAATATCTTGCCAATCAGATCAAGAACCTGGAAAAATAAATATACAAAAATGGTATTTTCCCCCCAGAAAACATATCAACAACTTGTATGACTACAGTATTCTGCACACCATAGTTTAGGAAATACCTAGAGTTATTTATATTGTTCTGACTAGACACTGAAATATAAAAACATGATATTTTCTTCCCAGAAAACGTATTTACATCTTTTATGCTGTTAATATTCTCCATGACGTAACTTATTTAGGAAATGCAAATAGCCCAAATACTCTTCACTCTTGTTTTCTATTTGTTTTTTTCTGGAAATAGGCACTTTGACTACTACACTACTATTATTATTTACGTCATATTACTTTTTTTTTTTTGAGACAGAGTCTCACTCTGTTGCCCAGGCTGGAGTACCACAATCATGGCTCACTGCAGGCTCAACTTCCTGGGCCCAAGCAATCCTCCCATGTCAGCCTCCTAAGTAGCTGGGAGAATCACTTGAGCCCAGGAGTTCACGACCAACCTGGGCAACGCAGCAAGACCTTGCCTTCAAAATTTTTTTAAATTAATTAATTACTTTAAAAAAGATGCTTCCCTAATATAAAAATACAAATATCATTGTACTTTTAGTGGAGAAAGGGTTTTGCCATGTTGCCAGGCTGGTTTCAAGCTTCTGAGCTCAAGCAATCTGCCTGCCTCAACCTCCGAAAGTGCTGGGATTACAGGTATGAACCACCACACCCAGCATATTACATATTTTTAAGCAAAGTTTTACTTAAATTCTATCTTCCATATACATGTTCCACCCAAGAATTCTTATTGATACCTATAAAATCAAACATCAAGCTTATTTTCTTCACCATCATTCTGTGTACTGATATATGGATCTAACTCTCAACCAACCCATTTATTCTTGAGATAACTTATATGCAGTAAGGTGCACAAATCTTACATGTACAGCTTAATGAATTTTTACATAAGCATTAACTAAAGATACGGACATTTCCAGTGTTCCAGAAAGCTTCCTCATGCCATTCCATCAATACTTTATTAAAGATGATGACTATTCTGAACTTTCCCACAGATTAGTCCTGTTTGTTTTTGAACTACATACAAATGAAATAATACAACATATTATTTTTATATGTGGCTTCTTCCAATATTTTGTATGTGAGATTCATCTATGTTGTTGAATGTGGTTTGTTCATTTTTATTTCTGTATCAGTATTATGTCACTCTATCACTCATTCATAATTTATTTATTCATTCGACTCATGGTGAACATTTGAATTTTTATCAGGTTAGGGCCATTACTGTAATTGCTATGAACACATTCATCCATGTCCTTTGGTGGACATAAGCACTCACTTCTGTAGTGTATATACTCAAGAGTGGAATTGCTGGTTCAAGAAGTGTGCATACATTTGGCTTTGCAGATACTGCCAAAAAGTTTTCCAAAGTAGCTGTACAAATTTGCATTCCCATGAGCAATGTATGAAAGTTCCATTTGCTCCATATCCTCACCAAAACTTGCTGTTGACATTCTGGTGGAGGTATAGTGGTATTTCATTATGGCTTATATTTGGTTTCTTGATACCTAAGCATTATGAACAGCTTTTACACTTAGTGGCCATATGGATATTCTCTTTCTTTGAGGTATACGATTCCATTCATTTAAGAATATTGAGTTGTCTGTCTTTTTATCATTAAAAAGGAGTTTCTTACAGGAGGAATCTTTGAAAAGTTCATGGAAAATGTGAATTATGAAAAAAACTACACATTGATTTTTTTTACACCAAAATAAACTCATATTAAATTAATAGAATATGTCTGAACAGGATCTAGTTTGAAGCACTAAGAAGGATAAGACATCAATTTGAAAACAGC